GTGCAGTGTGGCAAAAATAGTTCATATAGGAACTTTATAGCTTTAATAATGTATACTAAAAAAGAACAACATGACCTCCATGTTTACCAAAAGAAAATATAAAAATAAGAATGAAACCAAGTAAAAGCAGAAGACAATAAAGATGTAAGTGAAAAGCAATAAAGCTGAAACAAATGAAAAAAACTTACATAGAATTGTCAGTGAAATTCCAAGCTAACACTGTGAAAAGATCCATAAAATTAATAAAATACTCATCAGAGGGACCAGGAAAAAGAGTGCAGCTACAAAGTATCAATTTCAGGAATGAAAGAAAATTTATCACTAAAATTCCTACCAACATTTAGAAAGATAATGAAGAGAAACGAACAACTAACTTTATAACTACAAATATTAGGTAAAAGGGACAACTCCTCAAAAGACACCAACTATCCAAGCTCACACAGACAAAATAGCCCTAGTAGTAGTCTTAAACGTGTTATCTGTTAAAGATATTGAATTTGTAGTTAAAAAACCTTCCAACAAAATTCCAGGACCAGGTGGCTTCACAGGCAATTTATAACAAACATTTAAAAAAGAAGTAATACAAATTCTTCACAAAGTCTTCTAAAAAACTCAAGAGAAAGGAACACAATGCTACTCACTCTAGGAGGTCAGCATTACCCTATAACAAACCCAGAAAAAGACATTACGAGGAAACTAGAGATCAAGATCCTTAAGGACAAAAAAAAAAAAAAAATCCTCAACAAAATGTCAGCGTATCAAATACAGCAATATGTGTAAAGGATAATGTATCGTGACTAACTGGCGTTTATGCCACAAATAACAACATGCAAAACATTTAACAAATCAATGCCAAATGAGTTGAAAACTTAGTCCACTCAAAAACTACACATGAATGTTTATAGGCAGCATTGTTCACAACTGCCAAAACTTGTAAGCAACCAAGATGTTCTTCAATAGGCAACTGGATAAACAAGCAATGGTTCTAAACATACAAAGGAATATTTAACAATAAAAAGCAATTAGCTATTATGCTACAAAAAGATGTGAAGAAAACTTAAATACATATTACTAAGAAGCCAATTTGAGAAGGTTGTATATGGCATTATTCTAACTATATGATATTCTGAAAAAGGCAAAACTATGGAAACAGTAAAAAAAAAAAAATCAATGGTCACAAGAGGCTTGGTGGGAGGGTGAAAAGGAGGGGAGAGAACATGCATGCAAGATATTAATAATGGGAGAAACTGCAGTAGGTGCCAAGAGAGGGTGGTTTCCACTCAATTTCTCTGTAAACCTAAAACTGCTCTAAAAAAGAACATCTACTAGTTTTTAAAAAGTTATTCAATGTAATTCACCATCTGAGCATCTCAACAGAGAAAAAAAAATAAAGCTAGAGAGCATTTGACAGAAGTTAATATCCATTTATGAAAAGAAAAGAACTTTCAATAAGCTAGGAATAGTAGGGAACTTCACTAACCTTATAAAGGGCATCTAAAAAGTTACAGTATCTAAAAAACACACTTTAGAATAAATACAACAAAACATGAATGAACTCTATTCTGAGAACTATACATCACTGATAAAAGAAATCAAAGAACCAAATAAAAGGTCCCCAAAGATTAACGCAAATAGATCTTGAAGTTAAATCACATGTCTTATAAGCTACATTATCCTATTTATCTCTCAAATAGCAAAAATACATTGTGTGGCTAGACAGGTGTTGTTGGTTCCGTTTTACAGAGTTAGGTGGAGCACTCACTCCTGGGTACATACTTACAGAAAAAGAAAACTTAACATTTACACAACCCTGTGTGGGAATTTTTCTAGGTGCCACATTCATAATCACCAAATCAGTCCTTCAATGGATAAATTTGGACAAACTAGTATATCCATAACATGGAATACTAGTTAACAGTAAAAAGGAACAAACTACTCATACATGAAATGAATCTTTAAAGGCATTATGCTGATTGAAAGCCAGTTTCAAAAAGTTACATAAGGTATGATTCTACATATGTAACATTCTCAAGAAAACAAAATTATAATAACAGAGAACAGAATCAATGGTTGCCAGGGTTAGGAACGGGGAGTTACTATACAGGGTTAGCATGAAGAAGTTGTGTAGGATAACAGAACTCTTCTATATCCTGATTTTGGTGGTGGTTACATTAATTTTTATATATATTAAAATGTATAGAACTTTATACCAATTTAAGAATTAATTTTACTGGGCCCAGTCTGATGGCTCATGCCTGAAATACCAGCACTTTGGAAGACAGAAGTGGGAAGATTGCTTGAGCCTAGGACTCAGTTTGCAGTGAGCTGTGATCACACCATTGCACCTTAGCCTAGGCAGCAGCGAGAGCCTATCTCTGATAAAAAAAAAATTTTTTACGTTCATTTTACTGTACATATATTTTAATTTAAAAATAAACTCTTAAAAAACAAGTTACTAACCGTAAAAAGAAAACTAAAGGTTTAAAAATGAAATACTGCTACACACTTACATGGCTAAAATTTAAAAGACTGACCATACCAAGTATAGATGAGGATGTGGAACAACTGGCATAGATAGATTGGGATAGACATGATTTTGTTAATTATTTAAACCTTTAATGATATTTTATTTCCATTGAAATAAATGATAAAAAAATTGATATAACTGTATTTTTTAATGGGCAAAAGGTTTAAATAGATCTTCACCAAAGATGTACAGACATCAAATAAGCACATGAAAAGATTATCAACATCCTCAGTCATTAGGAAAATACAACTTAAAATCAATGAGATACCACTATGCACCTATCACAATGCTAAAAATTATAATAAAAACAAAAAATACCCCTGACAATACTGAGTGCTGGCAAGGATGTGAAACAAGTAGAACTTTAGTTTATTGCTTGCAGGAATACAAAATGGTACAGCCGCTTTGAAAAACAGATAGGGGCGGTGCCTGTGGCTCAAAAGGGTAGGGCACCGGCCCCAAATTTCAGAGGTAATGGGTTCAAACCCATCCCCAGCCCCCCCCCCAAAAAGAAAAACAGTTAGTTAGCTTCTTAGAAAATTAAACATACATTTACCACACAACCCAGCATCCTATTCCTAAGTATTTACCCAAGAGAAATGAAAACTTACATTCACACAAAATCCTTCACAAGAATGTCTGCAGAGGCTTTCCTCACAATCAGCAAAAACTAGAAACAATCTCAATGTTTTACAGCAAGTGAAGAGATAAAGTGGTGAACCCATACAAGAGAATACTACTAAGCAATAAAAAGAACTCCTATCACATACAGGAGTCCCAAGCACATTATGCAATGTGAACTAAGCCAAACTCAAAAGTCTACACCTTGTGTATTTCCAATTATATGATTTCTAGAAAAGACAAAATTACAGGAACATAAAACAAATCCGTGGTTGTCCAGGAGTAGGGATGGAGAGTGTAATAAATCATTAAGGAGTTAGAGGGAACTGTGGGGGTGACAAAACTATTCTATCATCTTGACTGTGGTGACACACAACTTTATACATTTGTCAAACACCATAAGACAGTACACCAAAAAAGGTAAATGTTAATGTATTAAAATTACAGTTTTACTTGGGAAAGAGGAGGGAGAAGGATGGGGGTCACAGTATATGGTGTGAGACATCTTGGTGGTGAGACACAATTACAAGAGAGACTCTATCTTAAACAAATGCAACCAGTGTAACCTAATTCTTTGTACCCTCAATGAATCCCAAACAATACAAAAAGAAAAAATACATAGTATATAATACATAAAACATATACAATATATGTTCATTGATTATCCTCTTATTGATAAAACGTCCTGTCAATAGGAAGTGAGGGGAGTCAAAAATGAAAAAAAAATTAAAAATTAAAAAAAATTCACTAAGAGCTCCACAAAAAGTGAATGCCCATAAAAAAAAAACTAAATAAATTAAATAAAATTTCAGTTTCACAATTATCAGAGGGACTTTACCTAATACATGCAATCAATGTAACCTAATTCCTTTTACCCTCATATATTCCAAACAATTAAATTACAGTTCAATGAAAAACCTCAATCTGACATTTTGTATATTTTTTAATGTTACAACTTATGGAAAAGAAACATCTTTCTCTGCTTGCAATCTGTCAAGTAATACTTAACATCATGCTAGGGTCTTTGTAGACTTTTAAAAGACATACTCCCCACCCTGATAGAGTTTAGAAGCTCAATACCAAACCCAGTTTAAATATTAAAGTACTTTTCAGAAAAAGTACAGGCAAACAAATTTGAGTGATAAGTCACAGTTTATATGTGTGGGAAATGAATAAACAGAACACCATTTTGGAAAGGTCTTTGTGTTTCTTAATATTATTGTGGTTATTATTATTAGCTCTAACTTTCAGGTGAGGGTAATGAGAGTTGGGGAGGACAATTATTTTGTCCACGACCTTTTGTACTTCTGACAAGTTTTGGTTGCGAGGAAGGTGACACGATGCCAGCGCTAGGGCCAAGGTGCCCCCCAAAAGGTAAACAAACACCAGGAAAGAGGACAGCTGAGGTGCTGAAGATACACTTCAATAACGCCACTCAGAACCGGTGACAAGTGGGACACGGGAGCACACAAACGTACGTTTCTGTCACTCCTGAGCCCCTTTGGTAAAAGATCTCTGTTAACTTCTCCCCGCTAATGGCAAGAACTAAAACCGAGGCGTCCTTTGCCGGCATGGCTGGGAGAAAAGGGGTGTGCGCCTTGCCTGGCTCGCGCGGGCAGCCCCGGGCGCCCGGGTCTCAAGCACCGGGAGGAAGGGCCGCGGCGCAAAACCGCCCAAAGAAAGGCGCCCAGAGTCAGGCCCCGGCAAGGTTCCGATTCCAGAGTAAAGGGGGCAGGGAGGGGTGAGCGAACTCGGGATATCCCCCCTCGGAGACACCCCACGTGTCGCACGACGCGTGACGCGACAAGACACCCTTACTTTCCCCTCATTTACCGACCACGCCACCGCTCACCTCTCCAGTTCTTGTACTCCGGGATATAATAGTATTTATTCCCGAACTGGTCTGTGCCCACGTGCTCCTTCACTTCTTTTGACAGCGCTCTCCACAAGGCGCGGAAGAAACCCTGAGAAGAACCCATACCGTCCGCCCGTGTCCCGGCGAGAGTTGCAGCCCGACCCGCAGTAGCAGGGGAAACACTGCAGGGGAGGACTCGGCGCACTACTTGGTGGAAACCAGCCCGCCTATCCTCGCGCCCTGCCAGTAACGGCGCTCACCGTTGGTTGGATGGATCAATCTCTTGGCCAATAAGAGACTCTGCTGTTTACAGCCCCGCCTCCGAGCCCTATCATGGCGGCGCCCAGGTCTCAAGCCGGTGAGGAGCGCGATGCTGGGGTTTTTGTCCGCGCGACAAGCGGGTTTAGAGGATCCTCTTTACCTGCGGAGAGCGGAGTCCACACGCAGGTAAAGAAAACCTTTTTTCTCCAACAAGCCTGTTAGACTCTGGACCACTGGCTGTTAAGCATTGCTCCACACTTCCCCGTCTCATCACTTTTCCTTCCACCAAATTCATTATTTACCCTGTGTTCTGCTGTGTGGCTTGCAAAAATAGGACGCCTTTTATATGCTGTTAACAACTTGAGGGTGGTGGGTGCTCCCGCGGTCCTGGGTGAACGCACTATAAACCTAAATGAGAATACTTTTTCGTTTTACTGTATTCTTTCTCTTTCGTATTAAGTTCCCTTGGGGGAAAAACTATCCTCTGCTCTTCGCAGCTCAAGGCCGTGTGTGGTGGCTTAAGCCGGTAATCCTAGCACTCTGGGAGGCGGAGGTGGGTGGATTGCCTAATCCTTAGGCTAAGGATGCGTTCATTTAGTCAGTCAGCATAGTGAATTCCTGTGGTGTGTCAGGCAGTATTTTAAAGGTAGGGCATAGGCCGAAAATTGAAGGAAGTTCATAATTACTACAGCAGAGGATTGAGGTTAGACAGCAGAGGATTGACAAGAGATGAAGTTGGGAGAAACAGAAGCTAAATGAGGAAGAGCCTTGTGTGCTTGGGTAAGAAGTATGAAACTTACCTTCATAAGGCCACAACTAATGCATTTTGTTTTCTGCTTGCTGAAGGGATTGAAGTTAAGAGTAAGAGAACCAAGTTAGGTAACTGTTGGAATCTCAGTTGTCCAGGAGGGAGGTGATGAAAGAAGTTTTGAAAATAAGAAATAAAGTCAACTAGGCATGGAAATTGGTTAAATAAGTAAATGATGAAAAGGGAGGAATGAACAATGATTCCCCTGTATAGCAAGTTGAATGTTGGTGATATACTTTGAGATACGGTTTTTGTTTTTGTTCTTAAGACAGGAGTCTCCCTTTGTCGCCCTCGGTAGAGTGCTGTGGTGTCATAGCTCACACAATCTCAAACTCTTGGGCTCAAGCGATCCTCTTGCCTCTGCCTCCCAGATAGGTGGAACCACAGGTTCCCACCACAGTGCCCAGCTATTTTTTAGAGACAGGGTCTAGCTCTAGCTCAGGCTTGTCTCAGGCTGCTCTTGAACTCCTGAGCTCAAGCAATCCACCCACTTCCGCCTCCCAGAGTGCTGGGATTATAGGCCTGAGCCACCACATCTGGCCTTGAGATAGGGGTGTGTTTTTTTGTTTTTGTTTTTGTTTTTTGAGACAGTATCACTATGTCGCCCTTGGTAGAGTGCAGTGGCGTCACAGCTCACAGCAACCTCCAACTCAGGCTTAAGCAATTTTCTTGCCTCCGCCTCCCAAGTAGCTGGGACTACAGGCGCCCACCACAACGCCCCGCTGTTTTTTGGTTGTAGTTGTCCTGGTTGTTTGGCAGGCCGGGGCTGGGTTCGAACCCACCAGCTCCAGTGTATGTGATTGGGGCCCTAGCTACTGAACTACAGGCGCCAAGCCAGAGATAGGGTTTTCTAAAGGGGGTAGCAAGCCGCCTTAATGGGCATAATGTGGGGGTATATGGCAAGTTTTTCTCCAGTGTCACTTTCTCTGAGACATCTTCAGCCATCATCACAACCACTTTTCCTCATTTATGTCAACAAGTTCACCCTCGTTGATTTCCTCAGTGTGCATATCTCAGTCTTTTTCTCAAAGGACAGCAGGGTCAACATTCCCACAGTCAGCTATTATTTCTTTAACTCCATTTATATACAATTTGAGTTTCAGTTTTAACATTCCTTTGGTACTTTCATTTTGTTTGCCAATTTCCTCTTTTATTTACCTATTTTTTTATAAAATTTCATATGAGTTTATCTCAGCGGCACAAAGATAACAAACCTAAATGCTTTGTAGTGATCAATCACCTGTAGATTTTAAAAGAAGTTATATAAATTGATGACTAATTTTGAGCCACTTTTACATGTGTAGTGATTTATGGACTGAAAAGCTAGTAGCAAGCTTTGTGTTTTATGCTGTTTCTCATAGTTAAACTGGTAACCAAAATTTAAACCATGTTGGTCAGCATTCTAGCATTATTTAATTAAACTGTGGGAAATTAAACACTAAAATTCATACATACCTGACTGTGCAAAGTGAGGTCACAATTTTTTTATCCACTAACTTGCTGATGAACATTCAAGTTGTTTCCAGTTTTTTGTTCTTATGTATAAAGCTGTTGTGAAAATTCAACTATGAGTCATTGTATAAATATACACTTTTATTTCTCACATTAAAAAATATTAAATGGAATGACTAGATTATTGTATGTTTCATTTTTTTTTTTTTTTTTTTGGAGACAAGAGTCTTACTTTAGCACCCTTGGTAGAGTGCTGTGGCATCGTAGCGCACAGTGACCTCAAATTCTTGGGCTCAAGGGGTTCTCTTACCTCAGCCTCCCGAGTAGCTGGAACTACAGGCACCCACCACAACACCCAGATATTTTTAGAGACATAGATATTAGATCATTTAGATATTTTTGTGGGGTTCTCACTCTTGCTCAGGCTGCTCTCGCAATCTGAGCTCAAGCAATCTGCCTGGCCTCAGCCTCCCAGAGTGCTAGGATTTCAGGCGTGAACCACCATGCCTGGCCTATGTTTCACTTTTTTTTTTTTGAGACAGAGCCTCAAGCTGTCCCCCTGGGTAGAGTGCCGTGGCATTACAGCTCACAGCAACCTCCAACTCCTGGGCTCAAGCGAGTCTCCTGCCTCAGCCTCCCAAGTAGCTGGGACTACAGGCGCCTGCCACAACGCCCGGCCATTTTTGGTTGCAGCCGTCATTGTTGTTTGGCGGGTCCGGGCTGGGGATTCGAACCCGCCACCTTAGGTGTACGTGGCTGGCGCCTTAGCCAGTTGAGCTATAGGCGCCGAGCCTGTTTCACTTTTTTAAAAGCAGTTTTTCAAAGGATTTTCCTTTCTCACTAACCATAGATGAAAGTGTCAGTAGTTCTATATCCTTTATTTTCCCTTTTCTTTTCTGCTTTCTTTGAGTTACTTAAACATTATTTAATATTCCATTTTAATTCAGTGTGATTTTGACACTTTAAATAATGTTTAATTTATGTAGTGTGATTTTGACACTTTATATAATGTTTTTTGGTGGTTGCACTAGGAATTACAAAATATGTACTTAACTGTGGGGACAGGTTACAAGTAAATTCCCTTTGAATAGAAGCTGACCAATATCTCAGAAACTTTCTAACATAGACAGACAGATGTGGTCATATGTTATACTAACTTGGAGTTATTTTAGAAACAACCTGATTAAAACCCTCTCCTGTATTTCCCTTTAGTAAATTCAATCTGCTCTAAAAAACAAAAAGGGGGGAAATGTAGGATAGAGCATAGGGTTGAAAGTGTTAGGCACTAGGGACAGAGTGATCTGGGAAAAAGCCAAGGATCACTGCTGGCCCTGAGTACTAAACACAATACTCAGTAGACACAGCACACGTCCCAGCCCTAAGTCATATATTAGTAGTGATGAGGAGGTTAAGGAGAGATTGAAGTACAGAATACAAGATAACATTAGGAGTTTGAACATGCAGCTGAAGATAAACTACTTGTTTTCTAACTTTTGCTGTTTCTTTGAAGCTTTCCACCATACTGTATTTTCTCATGCCTGAGATTTAAATAAAAGCCAGGGAGGAACGTTAGGAGGAGAGGCACCCTTGTCTCTCCTTGCTGAGGGCTTGCTGGTGTTGGCCTCCCTGGGTCCCTCAGTTCAATGCAGATGGACTGAGTAGGTGTAATTTATTTTACTTTGAGTTGCACCAACACTTCACTTTCCATTTTCTACTTAGAATCATTATTTTACTGCTTCTTTCGGCATATGAAAACTTTATTACCCTTTATCTTCCATTACATATATTTTTGTCTTATATATTAACATTTACATATATTATAAACCTTATCAGACAATGTTACAAATTTTTTTCAAGCACCAAACACATTTTAAGGAAAAGAATAGTCTGTTACGTTTACTAAAATAGTTACCATTTCTGTTGCTTTTTCTTCATTCCTCCTGGCTCAAGTTTCCTTCTTACCATTTTTCTTCTCTCTGAAGAAAAGTTCACAAACTCATCCTAGAAAAAAGTGCTGTGTACCTCCTTGCTGAATATCACTATGATCACCTTCAAGGGATTATTACCCTTGGGAAGCTGTGCACCAAGGCCGGCACCGAGGCTTCCCTTCAAAACAGTTTCAGAACTCTGAACTCTTTTTCTCAACTGGGCATCAGAGGTGTCAGTGTCAGAGGTCAGACGGTAAAGTTCATGAACTCATCCTAGAAAAAATGCCACCCACCATCGCTGAATATCTCTGTGGTCACCTTCAAAGTACTTTCTCTTGGACATCTGGTGACTGTATTGATACTCAGCAATGAGGTGTATAGCACTTTTTCTAGGATGAGTTCGCCAGCTTAATTCTTCAACCTTGTATGGAGTGTGTGGTTTCAATATCAGTTGACTTTTCAAAGCATCTTCAGATTTGCCCCAATGAGGACCACCCATTGGTCAGTGTGTGACTTATGTGGTGGTCTGTCAGTTCAGTGTTTAAAATTTTTTTGTGGTCCTCAGGGTTAAATCCATGCATGTTCCACTCAGGGATGACTCTTGAAGTTTATAAACAACTTTATGGAGTCACTTTCCTGAACTCCTTCCTTTCCTTTCTGTAACCTCCCAGATACTTAGTTCACTGGGATTCCCTGTTTTGGTCCTCTAGTTAGAAAATTTGGCCTCTGGTTACCCTGTTCTGACACACATTTTCATGTTTAGACCCAAGTCTGGGCTCAGGAGTGAGAGCCTACTCTCTCACTCTCTCTTGGGATCAGAGCTCGGAGGAACAGAGAAAACAATTTCTCTCCCTCAGAATTCGAATTCCCATAGGCTATTGTTTCCAGCCCTAGCCATCTCTGCTACTGCATTCACTAGGAGCTGGGCCACAAGGAAACGGAGAAAAGAGAAAAAGGAGAAAAAAAGCAGTCATTTCTGGATTCTCCCTGAGTGTTGGAGTTCTCTTCTCTCCTCCTGAACTCTTTCCTTTTATGCCACAGTGCTCATTTCTAGGTTTCTGGCAGAGTAAAATTCAGACCAAGGAGGAGCAGAGAAGGAAAAATAATAATAATAAACTGACTACTGATTCAGCAGTACCTTGAATTTTAGTGTTTTCCCCAATGTACCTGCTGCTGTTTACATTTCAGAATTCTCAAGTAACTATAGGTAGCTATTTCATGCGTTTGATTTAGTTTTTATAGTTGTATTACTGGGGAAATGGGTAAAGTATGCTGAAGTATTGAATAATGAACGATATGATCAAATGAAATATCTCAGAATATAAAGTAAGAACAAAAAACTCCAATAATTTAAGAGAAAGGATAAGAAACTTAGAGTATAAATCCAGAAGATCTAGCAGGCAATAATAGTTCCAGAAGGAGAATAAAATAAACAGATAAAATAATTAGAAAAAGAAGAAAGATCAGGATTTGCAGACTAAAAAGGCTTGCTGAGGTCCAGATAAGATTGATGAAAAAGACATAAAATTATGTATACCCTAGCAAATTTATCAAGAAATAAAGAGGACATTATTAAAAGCTTCCAATAACAAAGAATTTACCATTCACAAAAGTAAAACTACCGTTAGACATCTCATCATGCGTTCTAGAGACTAGCAAATATTGGAATGATTATCTACTGAGAAAAAAATACTGCAACCCCAGTATCCAAACGTAGCCTATATGTCAGATGAAAGAAAGATCTTTGTGCTAAGATTCATAGAAATATTTCATTCCATTTAACTTCTGGAAAAAATACCCAAGAAACAACATTCATCAGGGAACAAATGTATTTGAAAGAGATTCTAATGTACATAAAAGATGAAAAGGAGAGGAAACAGGAGAGCTATGAACCTTGCAGTGTATATATGGTTAAATCTAAATATATAATAATAAGCTAGAAATAGATAATATGGCTACTAAATAAAGATATTTTTAGACATTCTTAAATTAACAAGAGGAGAATTAAGAGCGAGTTCATTGAACTAGCAAAAATGGAGGTAAAAGAAGAAACTACAGCTTTAAATAAATAAGAAATAATGCGAATTATGTCAGATAGGGCCCCAAGGGAAACAGACCGATTTCTCCCACTAGGAAGCCTAGATTGTCCGATTATTTTTTTAAATAAAAAAAGACTAAAAGCTGGTTTTCAGAAGTACTTTAGATTAAAATTTTTAAATTTAAAATTTTAAAACAGTTTAACACAATGCTTATATAGTTTTAAAGTTAAAATACAAAAAGATTTCAGGTAGTTGAAAACAAAATGTAGATATGTAAGTACAAATATTAGATAGGATGAGATTTAAGGGTAAAGTCATCAGACATTTTAGTCGACCTTTTGACTTTTTTTTTTTTTTTGAGACAGAGTCTCACTATGGCACCCTTGGTGCAGTGGAGTCAGAGGTCACAGCAACCTTTAACTCTTGGGCTCAATTGGTTCTCTTGCCTCAGCCTCCCAAGTAGCTGGGACTATAGGTGCCTGCCACAATGCCCAGCTAGTCATCAGACATTTTAAAAAAGAACCTTATATAAAGTACAATTAATGAAGAAGAATTAATGTAATGAACATGTATTCAAACAGAATGGTTAAATATATAAGACAAAATGTGAGTATGGTTTGGCACTAGTTTATTTTCCAGAGTGGTACTGATATGGTAGGTAGAAAATACATACATATAAGGGAAATAAATGAACAACAAACTAGATTTAATAGACATACGTCACTTTACATCCCTTAAATGTACATTTTTTATAAGTCAATAATACATCTACCAAAATTGTTCTTGGCCACAAAGAAAACTTTAGCAAATTTAAAAAGATAGCTATCTTAGTTTATCTTAGTTTGTGAGTGTACTTTTTAATCATTTGTATTGATAAACATTTAATTGACTTTATTGGAATAGGTTTAATTGTTGCATTGAGTTATTCATTTTTTATTTCTACCTAAGTCTTTAAGAAACGCTTCAGGGAATTAAAGAACTGTAATGTGGCTTGGTGACAGCCACATACACCTAAGGTGGTGGATTCGAATCCAGCCCCTGCCCGAGAAACAACAAAAAACAATGACGGCTGCAACCCAAAAATAGCCGGGCATTGTGGCGGGCGCCTG